TTTGATACACGCGAGATGGGCGAAGTTTGTGAGAAGATTCTGTCCAGCGAGCGACCAGATAGCTTATGTCGGCATAGTTTCGAAGACGGTGCGAGCCAGATTTATTGCAGCATATCTTCCTCATGGGAAGTACCGTGACACTCACATCCAGGCCATGTACGACACGCTATCTTCGGCACTGCGGTCAGCAAGGCAACGTCGACTACATGTGGTTCTTGGCGCAGACTGCAACGCGCAGGTGGGTCCAGCTACGGAGTACGACAACAGGCGGGTATGCGGAAGACACGCAGACGGAAAAGAGAACCCCCGCGGAAAATGGTTGAAACACTGGGCCAATGCTGAGAACTTGGTGATAACAAACACAATGCTCCAGAAGCAGTTGCATGATTTGCCAACGTATTTTCACAAAAAAGCATGGACCAAGACAGCTGGACTACATCATCGTTTCACGAGGTTTTTGGCGCACAGTCGCCGACTCTTGTACGACAGCGGACGTGGACATGGGATCCGACCACGTAGCGTTGAACCTACGCAGCTCCATTCGACAAAAACCGCCCGTCTCCGTGAAGAAACACATATCGACGCGACGTCAGCTTAAAGACATACAGTCCTGGCCGCCATGTTCTCTGACTACGTGCGTGGATGTACTTACCGATCACGTCGCCAAAATACCAGCTGGGCAAGATATAGAACAACAGTCTTCTACGATTGAAAAGTGTATTCGAAAAACTATGGGAACTGCCGGCAGCTTACAACAAGCTTCTGGCCAAGGACCTCCGAATGCAGACCCAGTTCTTTCTCGTCTCCTTGAGCGTCGTAGGGCATTGCCAAGAAAATCACCCGTGAGCGAAGAGACATCAGCAAACTCATCAAACAAACACATTACCACAGCTCGAGAAGCCAGACTATCCGCCATATCACGTATTTAGGAAGAGTTCAGAGGGCTAATGAAGATTTGCAACATTAGGAATAACAGCAAGCGGGTGGACCAATCTTCGATGCGCACCCGCAGTGGGAAGCTATGCTACGATCGGGTCGACATGGTGAACGTGTTTGCTGATTTTTATGAAACGCTGTGTTCGAATAGTGACGGTGATTCGCCGCAGAGCGCACGCGTGAACGAGGAAACGGACACGCATGGCAATGAGGGAGTTCCAGAATTTACAATGGAAGAGTTGGAGACGGCGCTACGACAACTCAGAACTGGCAAAGCAGCAGACGTTGTTGGCATCGTCGCCGAAATGCTCAAATAAGGAGGCCGCTCGCTAAGAACAACGTTGTTGAGTTTGTACAGCGACGTCGTCAAGCCAGGGGCTTCGACACCATCCGCATGGAAGCAAACGCAATTGAGAGTCTTGTTGAAAGGTGGATCCAAGCCTACCGGAGAATCGCCGCCCCATTTCTATCATCCCATTGATGTAGAAGCTTTTCTCGCGCATGTTACACAAGCGTTTGGCACCGATCCTAGAACGACGCCAACCTCCAGATCAAGCTGGCTTCCGGAAGCACTACGGTGCAGAGGATCATTTATTCGCGCTGACGATGGTACAGGGGAAAGCGTGGGAGTGGCAACTCTTCACATGGACGGCAACATTGGACTTCAAAAGAGCATTCGGTACAGTTTCGCACAAATCTTTATGGACCGCTATGTCGTCGCAAGGTGACCAAAAGCTACATAACTCTTATTTCAAACATGTACCGCGACCAAACAGCAACTGTTAAACCAGACGCTGAAAGCAGGACGTTTGGTATCAAACGTGGGTCCAAACAGGGCGACCCCCTCTGTTCTCTACTCTTCAACTGCTTGTCCGAGGAGATCTTCAAATAATGCCGGGAGAAGTGGCGAAAAAGAAGATATGGCCTTCGTCTGGGATGCGTCAACAGGGCGCACTTGACGAATCTACGATTCGCGGACGATGTGATTCTTATTGGCACGTCCTTGACCCAGATACGCCGAATGCTGGGGGACATTGCAGAAGCTGCCAGACGGGCGGGTCTTGAATTACATCCACAGAAGACCAAGACTTTGCACAATATCGAAACACAACGTCATAAGAAATCACTGGAGTACACGAAAGTGGGCGACGTCGACATTGAGATTTTACCATACGCGGGTACCCAAACATATCTTGGACGACAGTTCACTTTTTGCAACCCGGCAAAAGTAGAACTTGGTGCGCGTATTCAGGCTGGTAGGAAGAAATTTGGGTTATTCAAGCAAGTTTTTTCCCGATCGTACCCAGTAGAGGACAGGTTTAGGTTGTTCAACGGCACGGTCGCCCCAGCAATTCTTTATGGCTGTGCTACATGGACGATGACGAGTTCGTTGGAGCAGCGCGTGCAGTCAACTCAACGCCGGATGCTTCGCATGATATTTGGATCGCCGCGGAGACGAGTCACTGGCGCCGTCGAGGACGAGAACGGCTTGGAACCCTTGGTAAATTGGATCAAACGTACCACGCTTATGTCGAAGGATGCTTTCCCACACGGGCCACGACGACGGTGGACCGACCAGCTGTAGTTGTGAGGGGCTCCAGCCCCGCCGCCGACCTGTGAAGCAGGCGGTCCCGCTCCCGCGCGGACCGTTATCGGCGCTCGCTTCGCCTCGCCTCGCCTACTCCTGCTGCTGCGTCTCCTCCTCCTCCTCCTCCTCCTGTTCTTCCTTGTCTGGTGCCACGTTCTCCTTATCATTGTCCTCTGGTTTCCACTCCTGCTCACCATGATTTCAAGCGTTCCGTGCATTTCCGCATGCCCATCCAGCGACCAGTGTCTCAATCACTGTGTGTGGGCTAACGGACGATGGCCTTGCCTGGTGTGGCCTGGCCTGTCTGGTCGCGCGTGCGGTCTGATGAGAGCTCGTTGGGTGTAGTTTCTGTTGGTGGCGATCTGGTGTTTTCTGGGTTTGTCTGATGCGAGACTTGGTCTCATCTGAGGTTGGATGACGAGGTGTGCAGCGCGAGCAGTATGCCGAAGTTCGGGTAATCGTGCAGTTCCCTCTCCTCCTCCTCCTCCTCCTCCTCCTCATGCTCCTCCTCCTGCAGTTCCCTTGACCTTCTCGTTCCCTCTCTTGTGCTGTCTCCGTTTCCCTCTTCTGGGCCGCGGCAATTGCAGCGGGGAGCGCCGCGTGGATGGCGGTGGCCTCCGCCGCCGCTCGGCCATGCCCACCAAGGGCGGGCTTCCGGAACGCTCTGCGAGAAGCGCGTGCGAGCTCCGCTCGTCGCGAGGAGGCGGAGGAGGTGGTGGAGGCGGAGGAGGAGGGAGAGGGACAAGGGCGGATGATGCGGAGGATGCGGCGGAGGGGGAGGACGCGGAGGAACAAGAGGAGGAGGAGGAGGAGGAGGAGGTGGAGGAGGAGGAGGACAAAGAGGGGGAGGAGGCGGAGGAAGAGGAGGACAAGGAGGAGAGAGGAGGAGGAGGAGGAGGAAGAGGAGGAGGGAGGAGGAGGAGGAGGTGGAGGAGGAGGAGGAGGAGGAGGAGAGGAGGAGGAGGATCTGGAGGAGGAGGAGGAGGAGGAGGAGGAGGAGGAGGAGGAGGAGGAGGAGGAGGAGAGGAGGAGGAGGAGAAAACTCTCCGCTGGCGCAGCCGCGCGTCTGAGCGGTTCTGTCCCGCGCTCCCCCTCTGTTTGTGGCTGCCTGCCCGCTGCAACCCGCCCGCCCGCCGAACCGCCGGAGGCAGGCCCGTGGGCACGCGGGTGGCCTGCGCTTCTCTGGCCGGGCCTCCGGGTCCTGTATGTGTGCGGTTCCCACCTCCGGACGCGTATTAGTGTGGGATGGCCTGCCGTCTCTGTGGGCTGCAGTTGACTTCCCCGTGCCCTTGCAGGCTTGCTCTCTCCTCTGGCCGGGCCCGCTCTGGGCACTCGCCGGTTCAGCTTTGCCCGTGGGGGGGTGGTCTTTGTGAAGGCTGGCTGTTTGTTGAATTTCCTTTTGGAATCATGATTATTGTTGATCCCCCCCGCCCAGTGCACTGAAGTGCCCTTCCCGGGGCTCGCACCCTGTTTCTTATTAGGGAAGGTCTTGAGCGTCAAACTGCGCCCCCGGCCCCCGAGTTACAACAACAACGGCTCCCGCATGATACTTCTTCACAATTTATTGAAACATTGCGCTCTCGCGCGGGACTTCCGCACAAGTTATGCATGAATCGCGCTCTCGCGTGGGATTTCCTCGCATTTTATTGAAACGCCGCGCCCTCGATACTCAGGAATCACGTTCTCGCTGTGGATTTCCTCACGATTTATTTGGGAATCGCGCTATCGCTCGAACTTTTCTTGCGATTCATACAGGACGCACGCTTCAGCAACCCGCCTGCTAGACCTGGCCGCCTGGGCCCGCCTTCCCGACCCGCCCGCCAGGGTCTACCCGTCCGATCTGCCCGTCTGGTTCTGCCATGTGTTTTCTGCTCCCAGTCCACTTCCTGCTATTTTTTCTCGTGCTCCATCCTCCTCCCTCCCCCTCGTCCTTTACTTCCGTCCGTGCTGTCTTCCCCTGAGTGAAGGGGCTGCGTTAGATGCACGTGGCATGTAAGAAAGATATGCACCCAAGGGGGGTACGTTCGAAGACGAATAAAGCGGGTATCGAGGGTTTGGAATAGACATGTTGAATGGCGCGCGAGCGGATATGAACGAGCAGTCTTATATTGATTGCTGTTGTTGTGGTTGTTGTTGCTGTTGTTGTTGATGGTGTTGTTGTTGTTGCTGTTGTTGTTGTGGTGGTGGTTGTTGTTGTTGTTGTTGTTGTTGTTGTTGTTGTTGTTGTTGTTGTTGTTGTTGTTGTTGTTGCTGCTGCTGCTGCTGCTGCTGCTGCTGTTGTTGTTGTTGTTGTTGTTGTTGTTGTTGTTGTTGTTGTTGTTGTTGTTGTTGTTGTTGTTGTTGTTGTTGTTGTTGTTGTGGTTGTCGTTGTTATTGTTGTTGTTCTGTCAGTATTGAAGATATGACATATTATTGTGTTTTCCTCCTTCCCGCTCGGCGTGCACGTTCCGTTGCTAATACTTGTGCTCAAGCTCTTATGACCTGGCTGGCCGAGCCGATCCCCACACTGCTCGCGGCCGCGCGGGATCTGACCACGCTTGGTCTCCACGTGGGGACCGCCTCTCTGGCTGCAAGCTGCCCTGCCGGTCCAACCTGCCCGAGCTTGTCGTGTGCGACGAGCACCGGGCCGACCTGTCCAGCGGCACATTGCGAGTGCAACTGCCCGGCTCCCGAGCCTGTCAGGAACCTCATCCTTGTCGGCGCGCTCGTGACCCTGGTGTCTGGCGCTGCTGGGCTGCTGGTTGGGCTCGCCGTTGGCGGTGGTGTGTCGCTCGTGCGGCCTCGACGTCCGACTCTTGCTACACCTGCACCGTCCACGCCGGTGGCGCCAGTGATCACGGTCCTGACAGACAGCTCGGGGCCCGTCACGCCGGCATCGCGCCGGAATGCCATCGCTTGACGTCAAGGAGACCCAGGTCCTCGTCCATTACCCAGATGACGAGAATGGCCTGGTGTGGCATCATCGTGTTCTCTTGTACCGTGTTGCCGGAGGCCGATGGGTGTGCCTCACGCCCGACCTGGGCATGCATATCCATGATCTCAATGTGCAGCGGCACCGCATCCTCGGTCGGAGAGAGCCATTTCCGCCCGACATTGCGGCCCGCTGCTATGCCTTTGACGACGATGGTGTTGGCCGGGCGCAGTTCGACGAGCTCAAGCGCCAGGCCCGAGTGCAGGCCGCCATCCTCGGCGACGTGGAGTTCGAGGATGCCGAGGAGGTTATGCGGCTGGTGTATGAGGCGGGGAACGACCATTTTGGCAAGGAGGTCCCCGTCGAGGTGCTGGAGGACGATCAGAGGTTCGTTTCCCTCGGTGCGCTGGGGGTTGTCGGCTGGCTGGGCGAGAAGCGGTTCGTGGAGCGGGTCGCGGCTGACAGGGTCGATGAGTGGAGGCAGAGGCGCGAGGAGTCGGAGGGCGACTCCAGGATCCTCGGCATCCACCGCAGGCGCGGGAAGCGGAACCTCGCGCTGCACGACGCGGTGCAGCTCTTCATTGAGGACAGCTTCGAGGATTGGCCGTTCCCGCCGCCGCGTGCAGCGCTGGAGTACCTCGAGTCGATCCGCGACGGGCCGGGCTCGATGGTCGTCTACGAGAGCGAGTGGAGGCAGGGCAGCGGTGTCAGCGACGGCACAACTGCCCTCCACGAGCACAGGAACAACGCGGAGGTGCTCAGGCTGGCCCACCAGGTGGACCAGCTCAACATCCCGAACCTGGCGTGCTTCGAGCAGTTGGTTCGGCGCCAGGTCCAGATCGAGATGGCTGTGGAGCGGAACGCGAAGCACCCTGACTACGGAGGCCTGGATCTGGTGCTCGGCGGCCCGACGACGGGGGGCGGCGCTGCTTCCAGCAAGACCTTCCGCGACTGGGTCTACAAGAAGCAGGGTGAGCGCGCCCGGGCGCTCAAGCAGGCCCGGCTCTTGCGTGAGGGGCGTGCCCAGGAGGGGAAGCGATCTCGTGGTGGCAAAGGTGATGGTGATGATTCGAGAGGCCCGAGGAAGCCGAAAGGCCCCAGGCAGGGGGGCGACGGCAAGGGCGACAAGTCAGGCGGAGCGGGGGGTTGACCACAGTGGTCGGCCCCCTTCAGGCTGGGTCGGTCGTGCTCCACGGCCGACCCCGCCGCCAATTTTGACCGCGGAGGTGCTGCCGTCCGACGGCGACTCCGAGCACGGCGGCGCCACGGGGGGCTCTTCCCTCTCCCAGCGCCTTCCTCTTCTCAGCCCGCTTCTCCCGGCGCCCCTCGATACGTTCGACAGCGGCGGCTTGAAGAGCGGCATCGGCATCGGCGAGAATGTGAAGCGGTTAGATCTCTTAACCAGCTCGCCGCCGCAACTACTTCTTTTTCGAGCGTCTCAAGTACGAGGAGATACGGAGGGGAGAGAGCCACGCCCTTACAATGCGATGTCCTTCAGCACGTTGCACGGCGCGTCAAGGCGTATGGGCTTCCCCCTCGAGACCTGGGCGAGAGTCGAGCCCTCGCGGAGCTCGCGGCGTCCAGGGACCTGTACTCGCAGGAGCCGAAGAATCTCGCCGAGTACGACATCGACAAGCTCAAGATCTGCCGCTCGGGCACCGTGGCCAAGGGCGCAAAGTCGCTCTTGCCGCCCGACGCGGCCGGCGTCGCCCGACACTACGCCCACTGCATCGAGAGGGACTCAGAGCAGATACTGGAGTTGCAGGCCGCGCGGGACTTCCCGCGGCCGTACTGGGATCCCACGCTTGCTCGAGATCAGGGTGGGCTTCTTCTTCTCATCGATCGGCTTCGGCAGGCGAACCTCGTCAGCTTCCGCCGCAAGCTCAAAGCCAAGATCGGGATCTTCTTCGTCAAGAAAAAGGGCCCCGCTTGGATCAGGCTCATCATCGACGCGAGGCAGGCCAACCGCTGCCATCGCGCGCCGCCCAAGACGAAGCTAGGGTCCGTCGGTGGGTTCTGCGAGCTCGACCTGTCGGACTCCGCCCTTCGTGACCTCGGCGGCTTCGGGCCCGTGGCCGAGGTCTGGGGCGGGACCAGCGACGTCGACGACTGCTTCTACCAGATGCTGGTCGAGGAGCTCGGGTCGTGGTTCGGGATCGACATGCCTAGGGCCGCGCGGGCGAGTGGGGTGTCTCCAGCGTCTACGACGACGACGTCGGGGGGCGCGCCCCCATCGACTCGACCGTCACCCTCTGCCCCGTCTTCCACGGCATGGCGATGGGGTGGTCCTGGGCGCTGCACCTGGCCAGCGAGGCCGTCGCCTTCCTGGCCAGCAAGAGCGCGTTCTGCCCGCGGTCGCTCGTGCGCGTGCGCGCGCCTGCCCCGGCCCTCCGGGTCGGGCAGGCCGTCTCCGGCGTCTACGTGGACAACTTCACGACCATCGCCGGGGGCAAGGTCGACGCCGAGGACTCGATCGAGCGGTTCAGGCGCGCGGCAGCGGAGGCCGGCATCGGCGCGCGCGTCGACGGCGACGTCGGGGTGGTCTTCGAGAGCTTCGGGGTCGTCTTCGATGGCCGGCAGCGCTGTCTGCGGCATCTGCCTCGTCGTGTGTGGCGCGTCTACTTGGCCACGCGGGCCTTGCGGCGGCGCCGCTGGGTCCACGGGGACATTCTGGAGATCTGGATGGGCCACGTGGTCAACCTGTTCGGCCTGCTGCGTCCTGGGCTGTCTTGCTTTCAGCAGATCTACCCGTTCGTGGCTAACGCGCGGGGACGACGAGTTCGCCTCGCTGACGCCGTCAAGAACGAGATGCGTCTGGCCCAGGGCCTGCTGTTCCTCTGTGAGTATGACCTGGGCGCGGACTTCAGCCGCGAGGTCTACTGCTCGGACTTGTCGGACATCGGCTTCGCGCTGCTCTCTACCAGGGCGACGGAGGCTGAGCTGCGGGAGCTTACCCGCTACCGCGAGAGATGGAGGTTCAAGCTGGTGGAGACCCTCTCGGAGGTCGCCCTGGTCAGGCCCGAGTGGGCCGAGTACGTTGGGGGTCGCTTGCGGCCTGGAGGTGGAGCTGATCTACCCGAGGGTGCCTACGCTGACGTCGCCGTGCGAGGGTCTCGACCCTGTGCCATTGGCCCGCGGACGCAGTATGGGCGCCTCCTGGACGAGGAGCGCCGCCACCGCCTGGCCGACAAGGCCGGCCGAGTCGGGCGACGGACCCGTGAGCCTCGCCCCCGGCCGCGCCATGAGGAGGTCGAGGTGCCCAGTGCCATTCCGCCAGTCGACCAGTGCTGGGGCGCGCCGCGCCGCTGGGCCCATCTGCGGGTCGGGCGCTGGAAGTGGACCACGGAGCACATCAACATCGAGGAGGGTCGTGCCTCTTTGTTTGGCTTGCGGAGAGCGACCCGCACTTGCCACAACCACGGCGAGCGGGTCGCGTCGCTGGGCGACAACCTCGTGTCCATCTGTGCTTTCGAGAAGGGCCGCGCGAAGTCATGGGCCCTCAATTCGCTGGCGAGACGGGCGGCTGGGTGCCAGTTCGCCGCCCGGGTTCGCTGGCACTCTCGGCGCATCGAGAGCAAGCGGAACGCTGCAGACGCCGGCTCGCGTCTGCACCAGTCTGGAGGGTCGGCCGATCGGTCGTCACATCATGTCGAGCCTCGTCCAGAGCAAGATCCAGAGTCGTGTTCGCATGGCTCGGCAGACCCTCCAGCTGCGACACCAGTCAAGTCACTCGGAGGTAGAGGACCCCTCCGAGCCGCTGTCCCGGGCAAGGAGACCGTGGCGCTCGAGCTCTTTGCTGGCGAGGCTGGCCTCACCTGGGCCCTTCGGTCCCGCGGTCTGCGGGTCGGGCCGCCCTGCGAACTGCTGCGAGGCGCCAAGTTCGACCTCGCCAGAAAAAGCATTCAGAACCTCATCAAGTCCTGGATCCTTGCGGGCCTCATCTGGTGCATCCATCTGGGGGCCCCATGTGCGGCCTGGTCTATTGCAAGGAGGGGGGTTGTTAATCTGGAAAAGGCTCACGCCATGGAGGCAATCGCTGTGGAGCTGGCCATTTTCACGGCCGAGGTATGCACGTTGTCCTCCCGGTGCGGGGTCTTCTGGAGTCTGGAGAACCCTGCGTCATCGGGGCTTTGGGAGTTCGGGCCCATCGTGGACCTCATGGGGCTTCCAGAGGTCTTCAAGGTCACCTTCCACATGTGCCAGTATGAGGTCTCCCACAAGAAGCCCACCACTATCCTCACCAACATGTTGGCCCTGCGCGGGCTCGAGGCGAAGTGTCAGGGGGGTCATGTTCATCGTATTCTTGAGGGTCAAGAACGAGTCTTGGGAGTTGATGGAGTCTGGCGTTCACAATGCAAAACAAAGGCAGCAGGGACATATCCGCCGGCATTGTGCTCAAAGTGGGCTTCTCTCATTTTTGCCATCGCACCGTCTTCAGCACTTGGGTCTCAGCCAGTTTTCGTGGACAAGTGGGATGAAGCTCTTGCGGCACTTCTCGGACAACGGAGGTCCCGCACCCACCGCGGATCGACTGAAAGGGCGGACGACGCCGACTCAGAAGACCTGCGACGTGCTGAAGGGTACATCGTCGAGAATCGACTGCGCTTCGGGCGTCGTCCCCCCTCCTGGGCCGCGTCGCCAGAAGGCGCAGCGGAGGAAGGTGGTGGCCGCTAGGTCCTCGGCCCCCGCGGATCGGTTCTTGCAGGAGAGCACCGCGGGCGAGAAGTCCAAGGACATCTACCGACGTGACCTCAGTCGTTTCTTCAGTTGGGCCGAGGAGCGTAGCCTCTCGACCAAGCCCGACGAGCTCGCGTCCACCATGAAACAGTACTTCTACGTTAAGTTCCAGGAAGGGTACGGGCCCGGCTTGGGCCGCTCCGTCTTCTTCGGGTACCTTTAGCTGCACTCCACGAACTACAAGCTCGAGAGGGATCGGCTCGGCGACGTCGAGAGGGCGCTCGCTGGCTGGGCCGAGCGGGCCCGCGAGACCGTGAAGGACCCCGCGCCTCAGGAGGTGCTGCTGGACATGGGTGTCTGGATGCTCGACCGCGGACGGGGTGAGAGTGCCTCGTGCATGGCCCTGCAGCTGGGCGACTACGCCAGGCCCTCCGAGAGTGTGGACCTCGTGCTGGGCAACGTGCTGAAGCCGGTCGTCGGCGTTCGCGGGGCGCCGTCCCGCGACTGGGGCATCGTCTTTGCCCCAGCAGAGCTTGGCTTCGTCACCAAGACAGGTCAGGTCGACGACTCTGTGGTGTTGGGCAGTCCCTCTCGCCTGTGGGCCCCACAGGTGGCAGAGGCTCTCGTGGCGCGAGCCTCTGGTGGCTCGCGTCGCTCGCGGGGCAGTCCGCAGGCTGGTCCTACGACACGTCTGTTCGACTCACTCACCTTTGCGCAGTGCGAGCGGGACTTCAGAGACGCCGCCAAGGCGCTCGGATATGAGAAGCTCAACATCACACCGCACACCGTGCGGCACACAGCCCCCTCGCACGACATCTACCACAAGCACCGGTCCTTGGAGCAGGTGCGACGCCGCGGCCGCTGGGCCGCCAAGAAGAGCGTCACTCGCTACGAGCGCCATGCCAAACTCTTGAAACAGTACAGCAAGCTGACGACTGTGCAGATGGCCAGGATGAATAAGTCAGTCCGTCAGTTCCCAGCCGCTGTACTCAAGTATATTCGTGGTCGTTGAATGCTGATCAAGTTTACCCACCCGCGTCCACCCTCTTTCTCTTGTATTCGTGACTACGTCCCAGAGTTCCCAAATGGGCAAAGATTTGGGGGTGCTCCGATTGGAGAGAGTTTCCTCAGCGCATCGCATGGCGATTTCTTTGGACGGATTTTTTGTATCGCACAGGTGATCATCGGAAGAGTGAAAATGAACGAACTCCTTTGTTATATCTGAGGCCTTCGGCCGCCGTGATATCTGAGGCCTCTCGGCCGCCCTCCGCTGGTGCAGGTTGTGGGCAGGCTCCTAGAGGCTCTGGGCACGCACTTAGGGTTCAGAGGAATGTGAAATATTATTGTGTTTTCCTTCTTCCCGCTCGGCGTGCACGTTCCGTTGCTAATACTTGTGCTCGAGCTCTCCCACCCACGGGCCACCCTGCTTGAGGGGGGTGCTCCGATCGGAGAGAGTTTCCTCAGCGCATCGCATGGCGAATTCTTTGGGCGGATTCTTTGTATCGCACAGGTGATCATCGGAAGAGTGAAAATGAACGAACTCCTTTGTTATATCAGAGGCCTTCGGCCGCCGTGATATCTGAGGCCTCTCGGCCGCCCTCCGCTGGTGTAGGTTGTGGGCAGGCTCCTAGAGGCTCTGGGCACGCACTTCGGGTTCAGAGGAATGTGACATATTATTGTGTTTTCCTCCTTCCCGCTCGGCGTGCACGTTCCGTTGCTAATACTTGTGCTCAAGCTCTCCCGCCCACGGGCCGCCCTGCTTGAGGGGGGTGCTCCGATCGGAGAGAGTTTTCTCAGCGCATCGCATGGCGATTTCTTTGGGCGGATTCTTTGTATCACACAGGTGATCATTGGAAGAGTGAAAATGAACGAACTCCTTTGTTATATCTGAGGCCTTCGGCCGCCGTGATATCTGAGGCCTCTCGGCCGCCTTCCGCTGGTTTAGGTTGTGGGCAGGCTCCTAGAGGCTCTGGGCACGCACTTAGGGTTCAGAAGAAATAATTGTTGTTAATCACCCCCTCCGGTGCACATTGCATTTTTCAATTGAAATGCCCCTCGCGGGATTCGCACCATGTTTTTTTGTTATGAGGGGCAGTCTTGAGGCTCAAACTGTGCCCCTGGCCCCCTGTTTATAACAACGACGGCTCCCGCTTGATTCTTCCTTGAATTTTACTCTGGTCCCCCGCTCCCGTTTGAGACTTCCTCGCAATTTTCGCAAGAATCGCGCTCCCGTCTGAGACGTCTTCGCAATTTATTCAGGCGCCGCGCACTTGCCATTCAGGAATCGCGCGTTCGCTGGGGACTTCCTCAAATTTACTTCGGAATCGCTCTCTCGCTGGAATTTTGCTGGTTAGTCGCGCAGAGCTCACGATCGATCCGCCCGCTCGGCCCGCCCGTTAGTCTCTTGCCCTTCGTGCCCCATGCTCGCTCGCGCCCTTCGTGCCTCATTGCTGCCTTCGTTGCCCCTCCCCTTGTGGCCCAGTCGCAGCCCTTAGTGCGTGGCCCCGATGCTGCCCTCAGTGGCCCCTCGGTGCCTTTTGTGGCCCATATGCACGCTCTGCGTGGCCTCCAAAGGCTCGTGCCCTTAACGGCCCAATTGGTGCCCTTCGTCGCCCCGCTCCTGCCCTCAGTGGCCCCCTCGCTGCCCTTTGTGGCCCATATATACGCTTTTCGTGGCCCCCAGTCGCTCGTGCTTCAGTGGCCCCATTGCTGCCCCGTGGCCCCAGTGTAGCCCCGTGTGCCTCCCCCCCGCTGCCCTTAGTGGCCCCTTCGCTGCCCTTTGGGCTGCGCCCAAGACACGTGGCAGGTCAGGAAGATGTATCCCCTCGAGGGGGTACGATCGAAAACGAAGAGGGCGGGTATCGGGGGTTTGGGATATTCGTGGTGAGGTACGCGCGGAAAGGTAAGCGCGAACAGTATTATAATGATTGTTGTTGTTGTTGTTGTTGTTGTTGTTGTTGTTGTTGTTGTTGTTGTTGTTGTTGTTGTTGTTGTTGCTGTTGTTGTTGTTGTTGTCGTCGTTGTTGTTGTTGTTGTTGTTGTTGTTGTTGTTGTTGTTGTTGTTGTTGTTGTTGTTGTTGTTGTTGTTGTTGTTGTTGTTGTTGTTGTTGTTGTTGTTGTTGTTGTTGTTGTTGTTGTTGTTGTTGTTGTTGTTGTTGTTGTTGTTGTTGTTGTTGTTGTTGTTGTTGTTGTTGTTGTGTGTTTGTTGTTGTTGTTGTTGTTGTTGTTGTTGTTGTTGTTGTTGTTGTTGTTGTTGTTGTTGTTGTTGTTGTTGTTGTTGTTGTTGTTCGCGAGGACACTACTGGAGGCCCGTTGCTCGACCCCCCCCCCCCCCCCCTCCCCGAGCAACGCAACGGGGCCACGCACGGGCCCTGCAGGGCCCCTGGTCCGAGCAACGCCACGAGGCCTCGCCAGGCCGCTGCGGGGGTATGCAGGGCCCGGCGGCGTTGCTCGGCAGGTCCTTTCGGGGCTGCTGCGGAGCCCCATGCAGGCCCCAAAGGGCGCACCCCTCTCACGGATCGTGGCCCTGGCCCCACAGGGAGCTCCACCGAGGTTTGATTTGGGCACACCCCTTTCGAGGATCGTGGCTCAGTGAGCTCCACCGGAGCTTGGTTTCGGCGCACCCCTCTCACGGATCGTGGCCCTGGCCCCACAGGGGGCTCCACCGAGGCTCCATTTCGGCACGCCCCTCTCGAGGATCGTGGCCCTGGCCCCACAGGGAGCTCCACCGAAGTTTGATTTCGGCGCGCCCCTTTCACGGATCGTGGCCCTGGCCCCACAGGGAGCTCCACCGAGGCTTTATTTCGGCACGCCCCTCTCAAGGATCGTGGCCTTGGCTCCACAGAGAGCTCCTCAGAGGCTTCATTATGGCACACCCCTCTCGAGGATCATTTTGGCACACCCCTCTGCAGGGTCCTGCGCGATTCCATCGGAACCGTAGAGGGAGCCTATAGGATCCGTACAGGGTCCTGCGCGGTTCCATCGGAATCCTATAGGGATCCTATAGGATCCTTACAGGGTCCTGCGCGACTCCATCGGAGTCCTATAAGGGGGAACCTGTAGGATCCTTACAGGGTCCTGCACGATTCCATGGGAGTCCTATAGGGAGGAACCTATCGGATCCTTACAGGGTCCTGCACGATTCCATAGGAACACCCTATAGGGATGACATAGGATCCTTACAGAGTCCTGCACGGTTCCATCGGAATCCTATAGGGATCCTATAGGATCCTTACAGGGTCCTGCACGACTCCATCGGAACCCTAGAGGGATCCTATAGGATCCTTACAGGGTCCTGCGCGATTCCACAGGAACCCTGGAGGGATCCTATAGGATCCTTACAGGGTCCAACAGGTTTCCATAGGAACCCTGGAGGGATCTTATAGGATCCTTAACAGGGTCCATCACGATCCCATAAGAACCCTATAGGGATCCCATAGGATCCGTACAGGGTCCTGCACGATTTTATAAGAATCCTATAAGGGGTCTTATAGGATCCTCACAGGGTCCTACAGGATTCCATCGGAACCCTATAGGGATCCGATAGGATCCTCACAGGGCCCTGCAGGATTCCATCGGAACTCTATAGGGATCCTATAGGATCCTTACAGGGTCCTGCACGATTCTATAGGAACCCTAGAGGGATCCTATAGGATCCTTACAGGGTCCTGCACGGTTCCATAGGAATCCTAGAGGGATCCTATAGGGTCCGTGCAGGGCCCTGCACGATTCCATAGGCATCCTATAGGAATCCTATAGGATCCTTACAGGTCCTGCATGATTCCATCGGAGTACTATAGGGAGGAACCTATAGGATCCTTACAGGGTCTTGCACGATTCCATCGGAACCTCAGAGGGATTCCATAGGATCCTTACAGAGTCCTGCACGTTTCCATAGGAACCCTAGAGGGCTCCCATAGGATCCTCACAGGGTCCTGCACGATTCCATCCGAACCCTAGAGGGATCCTCTAGGATCCTGACAGGGCCCAACAGGTTCCCATCGGAACCTTATAGGGATCATTTAGGATCCTTACAGGGCCGGTCCTGCACGATTCTATGGGAAGCCTATATGGGGTCCTCTAGGATCCTTACAGGGTCCTGCACGATTCCATAGGAACCCTGGGGGGATCCTATAGGATCCTTACAGGGTCCTGCACGATTCTATAGGAACCTTATAGGGATCCCATCGGATCCTTACAGGGTCCTACAGGATTCCATCGGAACCTTCATAAGGGTCCAATAGGATCCTCACAGGGCCCTGCAGGATTCCATCGGAACCCTCTAGGAATCCTATAGGATCCTTACAGGGGCCTGCACGATTCCATAGGAAACCTATAGGGATCCTATAGGATCCTTACAGGGTCCTGCACGGCTCCATAGGAATCCTACAGGGATCCCATAGGATCCTTACAGGGTCCTGCACGATTCCATAGGACCCCTAGAGGGGTCCGATAGGAACCTTACAGGGTCCTGCACGATTCCATAGGAGTCCTATAGAGGAGGAACCTATAGGATCCTTACAGGGTCCTGCGCGATTCCATAGGAACCCTAGAGGGATCCCATAGGATCCTTACAGGGTCTTGCACGATTCCATAGGAACCCTGGAGGGATCCTATAGGATCCTTACAGGGTCTTGCACGATTCCATAGGAACCGTAGAGGGATCCTGTAGGATCCTTACAGGGTCCTGCACGATTCCATCGGAACCCTATAGGGATCCTATAGGATCCTTACAGGGCCCTGCACGATTCTATAGGAACCCTAGAAGGATCCCATAGGATCCTTACAGGGTCCTGCACGATTCCATAGGAACCCTGGAGGGATCTTATAGGACCCTTACACGGTCCTGCACGATTCCATAGGAACCCTAGAGGGATCCTATAGGATCCTTACAGGGTCCGGCACGATTCCATAGGAATCCTATGGGGATCCCATCGGATCCTTACAGGGCCCTGCGCGATTCCATAGGAGTCCTATGAGGAGGAGGAGCTGGCCTCGCTGGCGCGTGGTCGG